GGATATTTATATTTTTAACTGTTTGGGGGTTTTATTTTAATTGTGAGCCACCCAGAGTCACTCTCTGGGGGAGATGGGCGGCATATAAATTTAATAAATAAAGATCCATAATCATTCTAGCTAAGAACTTGGATCTTACATTATACTAACACACAATGTTTGTTTGGTTTGGTTTAATGTGTGCTGTGAACCAAAACATTGTAATTCCTAAACCAGAGTTTATGGCTTAGTGTATTATATGGATCCAATCATTTCTAGTTTATTCAATATAACAGAACTAAACAAACAATGACTTACGATGTGTGAATCAGCTCAAATAATTTTCCACCATGTATGTGCCATAACAAGACTTAACCCTAGCAAGACCAAGTGGCTCTGGGTTTTTGGGTCCCCTGGATCTGGAGAGCTGCCATCTTTAACTCTCAACAGGGTAGCACTCTCCTGGACAAAGCTGACACACAATTTGGGGGTCCTGGACCTGTGGCTTCTGTTTGAAGAGCACGTGGCAGCTCTGGCCGGGAGGGCCTTTGTATGAATCATCTTGTGCACCCATTGTGCCCATTCCTAGACTGGAAGGCCCTGCTCATGTCACTCCTGCCCTAGTCACTTCTTGTTTAGACTACTACAATGCGCTCTACATGGGGCTGCCCTTGGAAACCACCAGGAAACTTCAACTGGTTAGAATACAGCTGCTCACAGAGTTTTGGGCATCCTGCAGACTGCCTGGGTTTATACCCCTGCTGCACGACCTGCACGGGCTCCCAGGTTCTTTCTGGTTCCAATTCAATATCACCTTTAAAGCCAGGTTACCTGTGCAGACATCACTCCCTGAGGACATCTACCCATCCCACTGGACTGGATAGGGTGGGTTCACTCCAGGTCCCCTCTATTAAATATGGTCATCTGGCAGGGCCCAGGAAGCAACCCTTTTCTGTAGCTGTGCCTACAATATGGAACAGCCTCCCTCTGGTGTTGCGTTAGAGTTTTAATCTTGCATTTTTATGATTTGTGTATTTGTTTGTCAGTCGTCTAGGGTTCTTTTATATAATACAGGTGTACCTCGTTTTATTGCGCTCCACTTTATTGCCCTTTGGTGATACTGCATTTTTTTTTACAAATTGAAGGTTTGTGGCAACCCAGCATTTGCTCACTTCGTATCTTTGTGTCACATTTTGGTAATTCTCGCAATATTCCAAATGTTTTCATTATTATTAATCAGATGAGGATTAGCATTTTTAGCAATAACGTATTTTTAAATTAAGGCATATACATTGTTTTTTTAGACATAATGTTATTGTATGTAATGTTATGTCCAAAAAATAGACATAATGTTACATATAATAATTAATAGACTACAATATAGTGTGAACATAACTTTTATATGTACTGGGAAACCAAAAAAATTGTGTGACTTGCTTTATTGTGGTGGTCTGGAACCGAACCCGCAATATCTCCGAGGTATGCAGCTTATTCAAATAAATAAGAGACAATGGCACACAAAAGGCAACTGAAATTAAAAGAATATACCCTCCGAACACAATTATAAGTCATTAACTATGCCTGTTGCTACGGATATCTGATTATTTGCTTTTCGGTCTCCATACTGCCATTTCTACCCCGAGCAATTTTGTTCAACCTCATATATAAACATTCATCAGCACCAAACCAATGAAACTGGACTTGACTGGATACTTCTTTTCCAATTGTGTAGAATTTTTTAAATTTTATCTCACATGTTTTAAGTTATTCTTGGGACAATTCAAATACTTTATGGAGTTCACCCTAAACTTGCCATAACTATACCCTAGCAGATCTAGACAAACCCAACTTACTTAAACTTAAGAGAGTTTATTCTACCTCCGTTTCCTCTTGGAGATTATTCCCTTGCTTTTGCTTCCCCCACCCCATTTATTGATGATTGTGAAGAACTGGTAAAGCCACACTTTCAACCCTCCGATCTTCTCTGGGATGGATTTTAATTAATCATTTCCAGCTTCTCTATACACATACTTGTCTACTGCCCGTCCTTTTCCTTAATGCTTTCAAAACACACCACTCCTTTCCAGGGGTGCTCACAAGACGTAGTCAAAAAATCAAGATGGTGGCCACAAGAGTACAATTGAAGTTCTGACTGTTTTTTAATTTACACTGCACTGTGATGCATACAGCCAGTTTGGTGTAGTGGTTAAGGCACCAGACTAGAAACCAGGAGACCGTGAGTTCTAGTTCTGCTTAGGCATGAAGTCAGCTGGGTAACCTTGGGCCAGTCACTCACCCTCAACCCTAGGAAGGAGGCAATGGCAAACCACTTCTAAAATCTTGCCAAGAAAATTGCAGGGACTTGTCCAGGCAGTTGCCAGGAGTCAACAATGACTTGAAGGTGCGCGCGCACACACACACGTGTGATGCACATCAAAAACAGACAGAGCTCCAATCACACTGTTGCAGATATCTTTACCTTTTGACCATATTCCACAGACACCCTTGCTCCTTCAATTCATAATGCCACCTTCAACAACTGCTTTTTAAGATGTTATGCAGTGATGGTCGTTGCACTGACTTACAATAGATTTCTTTTTTTTCATCCCTCCCCACATTTCTTCCTTCTTAAACAGGTTTTAAAGAAGTTGCTCATCTTCAGCTACAAATACTTCCAGATGTTGTTTTGAATTGCTACCGACAAAGAAGAACTCTGCCATGGAGAACGTATTTTCTCGGTGAGATACTTCCTGTTGAAGGCTTTTGGAAATGCTTTGCCAGAAAGCAGAATAACTCCACTTATTGGCTCAATACCATAACCCTATTTGCATCTGTCAGCAGCAACCAAAATAGTTACTCTTCTTTGAAAAAAAGGGATACTATAATCCCCCACCAATAAAAAGTCTAGTTCAGCAGCTGACCTAAAAAAGAATTGGGCTGGAAAAAAATTTAAAAGAGAAAAAAGAGATAAAACTAAGCGTTTGGAAATTCTTCTCAAAATATGCTTTTAGATACTACAGTGTTGGACCTGCATTCACTAGCTTTTGTGCTAGTTTCAATGTATTATGTAGTGTCAGTTCAAACAAGATTCTAGAGCAGTGTTTTTCAAACTTGGCAACTTTAAGATGTGTAGACTTCAACTCCCAGAATTCCCCAGCCAGTCTACACATCTTAAAGTTGCCAAGTCTGAAAAACACTGCTCTAGAATCTTGTTTGAACTGACACTACATAATACATTGAAACTAGCACAAAAGCTAGTGAATGCAGGTCCAACACTGTAGTATCTAAAAGCATAT